AGAGAAGGTTCTCCGTTATCAGAAACCAGCACCACCAGGGGGTGAGTTTTCAGGTCATAGTCACTCATCCTCCTCTTAGTCCTGATTTCCCCGGTGCTGGTTCCGATCCTGAACAGGTTGTTTCCTTTGGGCTCAGACAGGTGATAAGAAAGCAGTGCATTGTATCCAGAGTCAGCGTCCACAGCCCTGATCTTTGCCACAAAGTATCCCACTTCAGTAGAGTAGGGGATGCTCTCACTGTTAACGGAGCCGTGCTCAGAATAGGGAGCCAGGATCGTGGGACTGTTGTCATTCTCATCCAGAATAAAAACATTGACGGTCACATTGCTGCTGAGAGGAGGAACACCACAATCTGTGGCCTGAACTTTGAACTGGAAGGTTTTTAACTCCTCGTAGTTAAAAGACTGCAGGCTGACAATGTCTCCAGTCTCCAAATTTACTGTAATCATTGTAGATAACGGAACCAGGTTATTCTTACTTATTAAGGAATAGGTCACACGACCATTATCACCTTCGTCAGCATCAGTTGCCCTCACTGCTTTTAAAATAGTGCCTACAGGACTATTTTCCCCCACATACATGTTAATTGAAGCCTCAGAAAACGAAGGTGCATTGTCATTGACATCAGAAACTTGAATTGTAACTTGGGCTAAGCTGGAGAGAGGAGGGCTTCCTTCGTCCGACGCCTTAATAGTGATGTTATAAGTTGAATCATGTTCTCTGTCGAGGACATCACCAATAACCAAGGAGTAATAATTTTTATAGTTTGTATCTAATTTAAAGGGCACTGAATTAATTATTTCACATTTGACTTCACCATTTTTACCCCCATCTCTGTCAATAACTGAAACAAGTGCAATTGCAGTGCCAATTTCCGAGTCCTCTTTCACAGTATTCAGCAGCGACGTGACCGTGATGTCAGGAGCATTATCATTTAGATCCACCACTTCAACAAGCACTTTACATTGAGCAGTTAATGGAGGCTGGCCTTTGTCTGTAGCTTGCACGCGAATCTCAAAGGCAGGGTTTCTCTCAAAATCAATAGTGCCTTTTATTGTTATTGTTCCTGTCCCAGAATCAATTTCGAAAGTTTCTAAGACGTGATCTTGATCTTTCGAATTCAGCAAATATGCAATATCTCTGTTCGACCCCTCGTCTGCATCAGTGGCGGTTACTGTAATCACTCTCGTGCCAACGGGGGCATTTTCTATTATGCTTGTTTTGTAGAGTGTTTTTGAAAAAATCGGAATGTTATCGTTGTTATCCAAAACATTTATTATGATCTCTGACATACCAGATTTCACGGGTGTCCCTCCGTCTAAAGCAGTCAATGTCAGTTTAATTGAAGCCTGCTTTTCTCGATCTAACGCTTTCTGAAGAACCAGCTCTGCTGACACACGTTCACCTTTGTGTACTGCTAAAGAAAAGTATTCATTCGGTTTGAGTTTGTATGTATTAATACCATTTTTCCCAACGTCAGCATCGTAAGCAGACAGCACAGGGAAGGTAGCTCCAGGCAATATGCTTTCTGCGATATCGATAGTTTGCGATTTGGCAGTGAAAGAGGGGGGGTTATCATTCACGTCAATAATATTTACTTCAATACGATAAAGTTTCAGGGGGTTATTGATAACAGCCTCTACATTTATGTGGCATTTTGCTGCTTTTCCACACAGCTCCTCTCTGTCTATCCTCTCGCTGACGTAAAGAACACCTGACTTCAAATTCACATCGAAATATTTTTTCTTTGATCCAGCTACAATCTGAAACACACGCGATTCCAAATCCTGCACGTTTAAGTTCAGATCTTTGGCGAGATTGCCAACAGACGTCCCGAGGTTTACCTCCTCTGACACGGAGTAGGAAAGCTGCCCGGACACCGCTCCGCAGTTACACTCCAAGACGAGAAGCACCAAATATATACCAGTGTAGGCCTTTCTTTCCAGCGGAGGCATAATTCCTTACAACCATTACAAAATACAGATCCTTATGATGTTTTGCAATATATTTGCTAGTTCGACAAAAAAAGAAAAATGCTTGGCTAGATCAAAGATCGACTGTTCTGTAAAACCATTCCACATCGCACTGCGCCTCAGTCAGACAAAGACCTGACAGAAAGGACGATTCTTTTAACGTGGGAGGGGCCTCTCCACTTCAACAACATGCTGGCAGTGTTACGGTCTAGACTGTCACCTTATGGACGTTTTAAGATACTACAATAAGCTGCAAAAACATTCAACTAATCCCTTTTGTTTCAAATCTGAAAAATAAACCCATAATCGACGATGAAACCCACCTTTTAAGGAAGCATTAAAAACCTCACAGCTCCTTACGAACTTAAGGGCCAAAGATAGAGTATCAATATGATCTATCAACATGATGTTGACAGGTAAAGTTATTGCAATATTCTTGATAATAAACTACGGAACCGAGTGTTCAAATTCCTTTTAGTATCATCAGATTAATATACTTCGACCTTTGTTAGCCAGTTTTAAATGGTTACTTAAAATTCTACGTTTATATTAAACTATAAGTAAGTACGCAGCTTATTATGTATAGTCACAGAGTCAAGGAACACATACATTGTTTTAACTAGCATATTTATTTATATCTAGATGACTCGCAACTAAACTAAGAAAAAAAGGAAAAAATATATTTATTTAAAAAATTGTCACGAAAAACGAATCCTTATTCTTTTTACAAAATATGTATTTTGACTAAGTTTAATTAGGAATTGAAAATTATTCCCATATGGAACATTTATTGTGCATCTACAATCACGGAGAGTTATGCAATAGATGAATATGTGAGTTAATAAAACTCAACACATCAAATGTATTCTTACCTTTTCTGTGTTGGGTAAAGTTTGGGTTCTTGTAAAAGTGTCTCCTCCGTTAATACTGATCAGTTCTGCATCTACAGGTGGAAACGGGGCGGGGAAAACCA